CAAGCAAAACAACTGAGAAATAACTTTATTCTTAACAATGCTGGTCTGTGCGAACATGATTTCTGTTTTATCCAAATGAAAGAGATTGTGGGCCAACCAGCTATCTCTATAACCTCATCATGATAACTATTGGAAGCAGTTAGAGTAAATTCAATTGGATTGGCAAGCTTTCACGTAGTCACTGGGTTTTGGGGAGGGATTCTTTCATTGTCACATATAGTGCTACTGAAATATAGGAAAGTGGTCCTTATTTACTAATAAGTTGGCAATACGTCAGGATATGTCACAGAATCCTAATATCGCTTACCTGTTGGAATTTCCAGAAACTGTAGGACGTAAAAAAGCATGACAATGGTTGACAAGGATCCTCCTCCTATTACTGAGCTTTCGTTTCGCAACACGAATCAATAGCATTGACTTTAAACATCATCTAAGGCAACCTTCATATCTAACAGCTGAATTGGAATGTATTCCCTCCCACCACAGAACATGCTACCTTCCTTAAACCTCAACTACTTCTAATAATCAAATAACATCCAAATATGACTATGAAAGTTGGTTCTGAATTGTTCAAGGAGAATCCAAGTTGAGTTACCTTTTTAAACTTCTTTTCCTTCATTTTCATTCAGCAAATTGGGTATCACTGGAGAAAAGTTGTTTTGGTCTTGTCTCAATAATGGAGAAATTACTTTATTACCAATTTTATTCCCAAACTTCAGTTATTACCAAGATTGTTTAACGTCCTTATTACTTCAATTGTAATTCTTCGTTGGCTTGTCTAGCTTCCATCAATTGTTGTTTAACCATCATTAATTGGATTTTGAACGGGAAATGGTGTCTCTTACGATTCTTTAATAGCCATCTCTTCTTGTAATTCCTTGTATAAAACAAAAATTAAACAAACAGATTGTCCTAGAATTGCAATTTGATTAGAAGAGATGCATCATAATTATATTGAGGAATTGATAGAATCATTGTGGTTGCTTAGTAGTGATGGAGAGGAGAGACCAAGATCATCTGCTGAGGGAGAAGTTGGTGAAACACAAACAATGGCATCTTGTCCATTAATTGGGCCATTAATCATTAATTCCTGTGGCTCGTCATGAGGTGAAGTGTCTGCGAACGAGGAAGCCAATGTGTTGCTATTTGCAATTTCCCTAGCTGTTTTTAAGGTTGTGGTCTTGTTATTATAGAAGGTCATTGTTTTGATTGCCTCTTCTGCATGGATAAACATTGGATAAAACATGGACATGCTCAGGGAGGAGCAGACGAGCACTGAAAAACTTGTTGAAACTTGCCAAACAATTTTCACAACAGTATTTTCTGATCCACCAACAAGTGTGGCCACTCCTCCAGCAACTATATGGAGAAATACGCTCAATACCATGGCACTAATCAGTAGAATAGTGATAAGAAATGGATTGACCTGTCTTTTTACAAATCCTTTCTGTTGTAAAGGTTCTATGTGTGCAATGGAGAGTCTGTGAGTATTTCTCTTAATTGCCTTAATGACGACAATACCAGACCAAAGGGTGAAAACAGCTTTGAATACTAACATGCAAGATACCACAGCGAATATAACACTATTCGAAATTGTAATTGGTGTCTGAGGCAAAATGTCCATCAAGTGAAGGAAATGAAATAGAGAAACAACTGAAACAATAATGAACATGGAGAAGGAAAATAGCCCAGTGATCACGTACAATCCCTTCTTTAAATTATTGGCCAACTTGGCTGAAAGAGCTTTCGCCCGATATGAAGAATTCAAACTATTTCAATAATAAAATTGGAAATGATTAGATGTTGTTAATAAATTACCTTCTCCTTACTTACAATATAGTCTGTACATAACTAATAATCACAAACAAGGTTACAAAACTCAACAACAAAACATAATCAGATGCAGTTGACAACAAGGCATAAACCACATACAGAGCTTTCGTAATATGAAACCCTTCCTCCATTTTCATTCTCAATTCAATCACTACAAAATCTGAAACAATCCTCACCACAATATTCACCATCTGAATGCTCATAAATACCGAATTCAGAATGAAGAATTTCTTGGCATTCGTTGACAATCGAATCTTTTTTAAATGATTCAAGAGAGAAACCAATGCCACACAACAAGCAATGAAACTTGCCAGGAAACCAAATTCAATTCCAATGGAAATACCACTCACTCCAATCGGAGCAAAATGATCTAAAGAAGTTATATTGACAAAATTTCTTCCGAATTCATCTTTATAAAAGTTAATGTGCTCCGCCATTATTATTTGATAATGATGGCTGTTCAGGTCTTTTTTGTTTTGTTCAGAGATGCAGAAATTACATGATTACCTTCTTGTTTACAATTTTACTTAATAATTGTTGTTGATTGGGAGAGAAAAGAAGAAGTTTGCTGGGTGTAATCGTTTTGCGCGCTTAAACCTGCCGTTAATCTTTTATTTCAAAAATAAAATTGATAAATAAAAAATATATTTATAAATCAATCCCAAAGAAAACCTTCTTTCATGATGATGAGAGAAATATTTTCTCAAGACTGCTTTTTCTCTCCGAGAAAATTATCTTTCGCTCCAGCATGGAAAGTAGAAAGCCTTCAATCTCCAGGTTGAATTTCTTCCTTTATGCTAACAATTGAATCAAAACTCAACAAAACAAAATACACAACAATATCATCCCTTTCAATGTCCTTTAATTCATCTTCATCATCAACATCATCATCATCATTGCAAAATAATTCCACAATTGTGTACACGAACATGAATCAATTAAATATTGATATTCTCGAGTATGTGTTTGAATTTATTCCGAGAGGAATGGACAGGAGGAGAATAACACTGGTCAACAAGGCTTTTCACGATTCCAGATACTTGCTGGAGAAACATGAAATGGCTCGGATGTGGCACGATGAGAATACTTGTCTTTTAAATCCTCTCGTGGAAGAAGTGGTGAGTGAAGAAGAATTGGAGACGAAACAGGAAGAATTACAAATTGCCATACCTTTCCATTTGAAATGGTTTGTAACTGGCTTTACGAATGGTAGAAAGGCATGGTCTAATTCTGTTGTGCATGTTAGTAATTTGTTGGGACCTGTCAAATCTTGGAAAATGGACACACAGAATGGTTATGTAGTGTTGGGAGTTGATACTCAATTCTCGAACATGTTAACATTGAGTAGGGATGGAAGGATTAGAGTGAATAGAGACACGGTTGACTTTTTTGATTTTGTAACGATGGTAAATCGTCCATTGAATCCAGAATTTTACAATTTTGAAAAGTTTAAAGAAAGAGTGTACTTCCCCTTCTCAATGACTAAGGGATTTTATAGTATTTTGCCAGACAAGTACAAGTTTGTGGACAGGTTGACCATGCATGCTATTGAATTGGATCCAAAATGTTATACTTATGTTCCAGATTATATCAAGAGGATGAAACATATTGCCAAGAAGGTGTTTATTAGAAATCCATCCTTGGGCAGATTAATTCCAAAAGAAATTTTGGAAGATACAGATTTTGTTATGGATATTTACAAATCATCACAATCAATTCTGTTTTATGCTTCTCCTAAAGGAAAATGGTGGAGTGATAGGGGTTTTATGATTGAGGCATTGAAGCGTGATGTATGTTTAATAAGAAACTGTTCTGAGGAAATACGGACTGATAGAGAAATTATTGACATGATTATTGACATTGATGCAGCAAGTTCTTTTCAATATATTGGAAAATTCAAGGAAGACGAAGATATTGTGAAAACGGCACTATTTAAATCAAACTTCAAGATTCTGCATTATATCAATAGTGATTTTCTACTTAATAATAGAGAACTAGTTCTCACAATACTGAAAAGTAATGGAAAGTATATTAACGAAATGCCAGAGTCAATCAAAAAGGATAGAGAATGCTTTTTCCTAGCTGCAAGAACGCCTTATTTCACATACAAAGTTCAATCTCTTTACAAAATAATAGAGAGTGACAGAGAGGATTTCAAATCAATTCTGCAATTTAATCCGGACCTTTTGGAGAAGACCATTTTCAAACACGACAGAGAGCTCCTTAAAGAGGCTCTTTCACACAGTGGATATTGTCTCAGATTTGCAAGTGAAGAATTCAAGGCAGATAAGGAACTTGTTTTGACAGCCGTAACAAACAATGGATCTGCCCTAATGTATGCTTCTCCAAAACTCAAAGATTGTGAAGAGGTTGTCTTGGCAGCTGTAATGAATAATGGAAAAGCAATTCGCTTTGCTTCAAAGAGATTATCATCCAATCAGAAAATTATCAAATCAAGAAAGTTAAAGTAACTTATTCGGTTATGCGCATATTAACATTTATCTGGATTTCTGTCAATACCCATCTC